CAAGATATGTTGTCACTTCTGGCAACCCTTTATGGACTTTCTGCTGACACCAGGACTGAAAAGATGATGCTTTATGGATTTGTTTATAGATACGAGATGGGATACAGGATGAAGAGATAAATGGTAACTTTAGAAGGGGTGAAGAGTCATTAAATTTGTTTGTATTTGTTGTGATGAAGGTTAGAAATGACTTCTTTATATATTTCTTTTCTCTTTATTATATTCTTACTTTTCTCTGTTTTTCTTTTTCCTTGCACTTTTTACTCCTTTCTATTCTCTTTTCTTTCTTTAAATTTAGATTTTACTTTTATAATCAAAATTCTTAATAAAAATTATGTATATAAAAAGAATTTGTTTATTCCTTTGTTTTCATCAGCTCAGCTTAAGATGCTGATTCTTATTCTCAAAAAGCATATCCTTTTTGAGGGCAAGCCTTTGTATCAGCAGAGTCCAGTTTCATAAAAGTCGTTATGGATGAGGCCTTTCTGTTTTGGATTATCTGTCTTTCAGAGCAGTTCTACAGTCTGCTTGATTTAGAAGGTAAATTAGCTAGTATGCCTAGGTATCCAATAGAAGTCATGATGCTGTCAAGGTGGTATCATGGCAGTGTGACATCATGGTGCAAATGGCACAATTAATGTTTGCATCTGTCATGTCAGTATGTAATTCACATAATTTATGTGGTGATGTCATAACGTGTAACATCACTTTATACCTCACTTCCACATGAATGTCTATGTTGGTACAGTTGTTGAAAAAATTATTTTTAGGGCCTGATAGCTGGAAATGCTTCTTCTAGGCAGCCTTTGTTAAAAATGGTAAAATGTTGTATGGAAGGAAGACATACAGTATTTATGAATATTTTATCAGTTATTTGGTTCAGATTGATATAGTTAACCAGCTGTATCTCTGTCTATGGAGTTACCTAGTGTTTATTCACCCAAGAGTTGTTGACTACATGATGGCAAAGATGTTGCCTGTTGAAGTTTCAAGCAGCAAAAAATTTTTTTTACAGAATGTGTAGCATTAATAAATAATTAATAATTACACATCCATATACATTTGCACTAGCTTTTTTTATTTACTTATTTCTTTCAACACGGCAACTCAGACAGCAGTTTACTTTGTACCAAGTAATCTTAGAATGAGCATTAGATTAAGAGGTATGTTAGTGCTTCTGTATCCAGAGAAGAAAGTGAATGAGATGATTAATAAACTAAGGATTCATAGGGTTGGATCTGGGAAGTTTCAGACAGACTGCAAGGTTATGGAAAGCTATGTTACATCTGGAAAAAATGTTTGAAATTGAGGGAATAGCATTAATGTGAACAGGTCAGGGACAGAATATTAAAATCTAGGTGTGAGACAACCAGCTCCTTGTTTGCCTCTCCTTGTTCCTGTTGGATGGGCTGTGCTGGTGAAGAGGTGGACCTAGGAGTGCCAGTAGGATCAGTGTGAAGGCAGCAGCATGGCTGTCATTAGAAAGGAGATGATCAGCATGACAATGACTGCCTTTGCCAGTTGACTGATGTCTTGTGGAGCATCAGGTAGATGGGCGATAAGAGGATGGTGGGCAGAGCCAGGAGAAGTGAGGGAGTGAGATCCCATGGAAGTTGTGAACATCGAATGATGACCTTCACCACACCACCTGCCTCTTGTATAAGCAATAGGATGATTTCAGAGAAGTAAAGCTGTTGCCATCTGACTAGCAACCAAGATATGGCTTTGCTAGGTGGACAGTATTTTTGACCATCAACCAGATATCAATGGAAAGCCTTTGGCCTCAGCAAAGAGGGGGAAGGAAGCCTGGAGCCAAGTCCCTGGTTTCCTTCTGCTTGAGCAGCTGTTTGGATCAGGATATAGACGGGTGGATGGGTGTATTGAAACCTATTTGGCTGGACTGAAAACTCCCAGCAAGGAGGTCAAGAAAGGTTGGGCAGCTAGATATTGGAGAGCTACCTCCCTGGGTCCAGCTGAGAAGGACTGGAGCCAGTGGAGGACTGTGATTATAATATCTATCACTGTGATTATATTGCAATTATATCTGTGATTGAGAGCCAGCTTGGTGTAGTGGTTAAGACACTGGGCAAGACACCAGGAGACCATGAGTTCTAATCCCACCTTAGGCACAAAACCAGTAGGGTGACTTTGGGCCAGTCCCTCTCTCTCAGCCCTAGGAAGAAGCAGGCAGTGGCAAACCACTTCCAGAAATGTTCCCAAGAAAACTGCAGGGACTTGTCCAGGCAGTTGCCAGGAATCAACACTGATCGAAGGCACTCTCCCCTCCCAAATATCTGTGATTATATTCTTATTAATAATAATAAAATGTATTGGCCGCCCAACTCCATTGGACTCTAGTACAGATAGCACCTCCCCTAGAAGTTCAGGGATGAAGGAAAGTAGAGGTCCTGGGCCTGGTCAGCTGTGGTCATCTGTCTTAGGTGGAAGACAAAGCAGTGCAGTGGAAGTCTGTCACGTGCAGACAGAAAATATTGAGGAGGAGATGAAGCGTATGCCCTGGGTGTTAGCAGGAGGCCATCTCTTGTTTGGGATAGTTTCTAGATCAACACACTGGAATATATGGGAGATTGATGAGGGGTGAACAAAATCTTCCACTTGATTTACGTTATTGTTTATGCAGGAAATTGGGCCTTGAGTTGATTTGATCAATATATTGCTCTGAACTTTTAGCGTGTTTGCCTTTTCATGGCTAAAACAACCATCTTTCCTTAAAGGTGTTAATGGGATGAGTTATCTCCTTTTCCTCATCTTCTGTCCTGAGATGGATTTTAATTAACAGCCATTCCAGTAAATCATTAGGAATATTTTATAACTCTTTCAATGTAATTAAAATGTAGAAGCAGGATACACAACTATCTCTTCTTTCTGCAAGAGTTTTTCCTTACCTTCCAATAGGGCTACATTAAGTGAGACAAATTTACTGCTTTCCACATTTACAAAATGTACCTAAGAGAACCAAATCCTCTACATAAGCAGAGAGATGAGAGAGGATGAGTAAGAATCAGAAGGAAAGATTGGAGTTACGTCCATGCAGTGCTGTTTCAAATGTTGGGTGCTGATTTATTTATTTGATCAGTATCGATCACTGGCAACGTATGTACTGTCAAGTTGTCTAATAACATAAAAGTACTATAGCAATAAAATCACTGGAGCAGGGTTTCTCAACCTTAGCAACTTCAAGATGTGTGGACTTCAACTCCCAGAATTCCCCAGCCAGCTTGCTTGCTGGCTGGGGAATTCTGGG